TACATGTAAAAGTATGAGATTAGATCACTCCCTAACACCATACACAAAAATAAGCTCAAAATGGGTTAAAGACCTAAATGTAAGGCCAGAAACTATCAAACTCTTAGAGGAAAACATAGGCAGAACACTCTATGGCATAAATCACAGCAAGATCCTTTTTGATCCACCTCCTAGAGAAATGGAAATAAAAACAAAAATAAACAAATGGGACCTAGTGAAACTTCAAAGCTTTTGCACAGCAAAGGAAACCATAAACAAGACCAAAAAACAACCCTCAGAATGGGAGAAAATATTTGCAAACAAAGCAACTGACAAAGGATTAAACTCCAAAATTTATAAGCAGCTCTTGCAGCTCAATAACAAAAAAACAAACCCAATCCAAAAATGGGCAGAAGACCTAAATAGACATTTCTCCAAAGAAGATATACAGTTTGCCAACAAACATATGAAAGAATGCTCAACATCATTAATCATTAGAGAAATGCAAATCAAAACTACAATATCATCTCACACCGGTCAGAATGGCCATCATCAAAAAATCTAGAAACAGGGCTTCCCTGGTGGCGCAGTGGTTGAGAGTCCGCCTGCCGATGCAGGGTTACACAGGTTCGTGCCCCAGTCTGGGAGGATCCCACATGCCGCGGAGCAGCTGGGCCTATGAGCCATGGCCACTGAGCCTGCGCGTCCCGAGCCTGTGCTCCGCAATGGGAGAGGCCACAACAGTGAGAGGCCCGCGTACCACAAAAAAAAATAAAAATAAAAAAATTTAAAAATCTAGAAATAATAAATGCTGGAGAGGGTGTGGAGAAAAGGGAACACTCTTGCACTGCTGGTGGGAATGTGAATTGGTACAGCCACTATGGAGAACAGTATGGAGGTTCCTTAAAAAACTACAAATAGAACTACCATATTACCCAGCAATCCCACTACTGGGCATATACCCTGAGAAAAGCATAATTCAAAAAGAGTCATGTACCAAAATGTTCATTGCAGCTCTACTTACAATAGCCAGGAGATGGAAGCAACCTAAGTGTTCATCATCAGATGAATGGATAAAGAAGATGTGGCACATATATACAATGGAATATTACTCAGTCATAAAAAGAAACGAAATTGAGTTATTTGTAGTGAGGCGGATGAACCTAGAGTCTGTCATACAGAGTGAAGTAAGTCAGAAAGAGAAAGACAAATACCGTATACTAACACATATATATGGAATCTAAGAAAGAAAAAAAAATGTCATGAAGAACCTAGCGGTGAGACGGGAATAAAGACACAGACCTACTAGAGAATGGACTTGAGGATATGGGGAGGGGGAACGGTAAGCTGTGACAAAGTGAGAGAGTGGCATGGACATGTATACACTACCAAACGTAAAATAGATAGCTAGTGGGAAGCAGCCGCATAGCACAGGGAGATCACCTCGGTTCTTTGTGACCACCTAGAGGGGTGGGATAGGGAGGTTGGAAGGGAGGGAGACGCAAGAGGGAAGAGATATGGGAATATATGTATATGTATAGCTGATTCACTTTGTTATAAAGCAGAAACTAACACACCATTGTAAAGCAATTATACTCCAATAAAGATGTAAATAAAACAGGTTTTGGCTAAATACACTGAGCAGTTTTGTTCAGTACAACTATCTTCTCAATTTAAAATATTATCATCCATTTATGATAGATATATCACTTAAATTCAGTGTGGTACAATTAACTTTTTCATACTAAGATCAAGATAGAATCAAACAAAAATACCTTTCTATATACAGAAATTTAAAAGGATTTTCAAAATAATTGTTGAAAGCCTAATTAGTTAGAATCTCTAATTGAAATCCTGTGTTTTAATTGAGGGTTTTTTTCTCCGTCCTTCTAAAATCATTCCTTTTATGTGACTATTAATGTAGCAAAAAAAAAAAAAAAAAGTCAGGGCTTCCCTGGTGGGGCAGTGGTTGAGAGTCTGCCTGCCGATGCAGGGGACACGGGTTCGTGCCCCGGTCCGGGAAGATCCCACATGCCGCGGAGCGGCTGGGCCCGTGAGCCATGGTCGCTGAGCCTGCGCGTCCAGAGCCTGTGCTCCGCAACGGGAGAGGCCACAACAGTGAGAGGCCCGCGTACCGCAGGAAAAAAAAAAAAAAAGTCAAACATTTGTCATTTAAGTTTGATTATCTATTAAGAAAAAACTTTGTATATATTTCTCTAGGTTTCACAAAATTAAAGTTTTTACTCAAAAAGCTTACATCTTTCCTCAGAACTTCAAATGAGTTTTTTTAACACATAAATTATTTGTAACTCAATTTCTAGTCTCAGTTACATGGCTGAAAGATTGAAAGTTCATTTTACTCAATGAACATCAAAGCAATACCAACAAAATGCTATAAGGAAAAAAAATTTCTAATTGCTATACATTAGAATGCCTTTGGAAGCAGCCATGAAAATGGAGGCATACATATGACCTATACAATTTATACACTTAAAACATTAATATTTAATTTCTCTAAATGACTACTCAACTATGTAGGTATATACTGATAAAAATAATTTTAGCTTACTGTACATTAAAGATTGTAGTAATTTTTTTTTTTTAGAAATGTGTTCATATACACATTTTTATATAGGGATAGATATAAAAACAGTGATTTTTTTAAAAATCCCATTAGTTTACATAATATATAAAACTTTATTTCTTTTTCCTATGGTCTCGATGTGAACAGTCCAGATTATTGTGGCAGCTCTGCTCCCTGTGGTCATGTAGGGATGCAAGTTTCTTCCATTCTTTAGTTCTGCCATTCCGTCCCTTATCCACATGGCTGAGACTGTGTTGCTACCACTTCTCTGTTGAAGCCAGTGGGCAGGGGGGAAATGAGCTTGAAAACTCAGTCCCAGAAAGGCCACAAATGAGTTTCTCAGTCCATTGATAAGTACTTAGTTACATGGCCTTACCTAACAGAACAGCAAGGCAGTGGATCTAACGCTGTAGAAGAAACAGAACGTAGGGAACTCCCCGGCTGTCCAGTGGTTAGGATTTGGTGCGCTTTCACTGCCGGGGCAGGGTTTGACCCCTAGTCGGGAAACTAGATCCCGCAAGCCACCCACAAACCCATGGTTTTTATTTTGTTTTTATTTTTAAAAATTAAAAAAAATTCTTTTGGCCACCCGGCACAGGATGCAGGATCTTAGTTCCCCAACCAGGGATTGAACCTGTGACCCCTGCAGTGGAAGTGTGGAGTCTTAACCACTGGACCGCCTGGGAAGTTCCCCCCAATGTTTTTATATTTTGTGTTGTTACTATGGTCATATCTACACATAAACAATATGTAGGAAAACAGAGAATTGGCACAGGCCACTGGCTTCCTTCCACAGCTAAATTCTACAGATGCCAAAGAAATGAGGACAAAGTACATTCTATTTTTGTTGCTAACTTTAATCTTTCATTTCAGCATAACATTTGCTTTAAGTTTTGTTTTTATTTTCATTTTTGTTTTCTACTATAGAGAAAATAAAACATATAGAAAAGTAGGAAGAACAGTAATCTCCCTGTACCTATTACCCAGTTTCATTAATGATCAATATTCTGCTCTTTTATTTCATCTATTGCACCAAAAATCTGTTTTTTGAGTATTTTAATACAAATTTCAGATATATACCATCTAATGAATATTTTAATATGCATCTCTAACAGATAAGGAAAATTTTCAAATGCAATCATAATACCATCATCATGTCCAATAAAATTATAATTGATCCCAAATGATCTTTCCTACACATTTTTTTTTAAATCAGTAAAGTTTTTTTTTCTTCTTTGTAGCACTCTCATCTATTCTTGGTTAGAGAACAAGTTAGTAATTTTCCTGGAGATATAAACCTATGAATTAGGCAAGTGAGGAGAGGAAGGCATTGAAGACAGTTCATCAGGAAGCATTTTTTATGTTCCAGCCCGCAATACTTTGAACTGGTAGCATTCTTGGTCCCTGCAATGCAACTTAGCTCTTAATTATGAATTGTCTTTTTAATACTTCATCTGGGTGGATTTGTTTTCCAGCTATACAGTAAATTCACTGAAGCTAGGGTTATTTATAATGCCTTATTTTATACGGTACTAAACTCGACTGACCTCTCAACCACTGTTACCTCTTTCCAAAAATTCTTTGAAATCTCTCTTCTTTACTCATAACTATGTTTTCAGTATCATTTCAGGACACATATAAAATTTAAAAAGATAAAATCAAGTATCCATTTTTAACGGCAAGATTTCTGTTTATTTTTATAAACAGGAAAACAACAAAGCTTTCCCATTTGAGGGAAAAGTTTAATGTTTATTTTTCAGTCTGAGTCAAAATGAAAGTATAAAAACTGCAACATCAAAACCCCTATATCAAAATGTCAAGTGACCACTGTAGGATACTAGAGTAGGCAATTACTGAGAGATTGTCGGTTGCATTTCTCTCCCTCTTGTTGAAGAGCAAGGGCAACGAGAAAATCTAGAGAGTTCTTTTTCCTTAAAGAAACAAAAAAAACTACTCCTGAATAAATATGACAGAGGTCCTTTGTAAGCATCTTTTTATTCAGAAACTGCTGCAGACCAGCCGAATGAGGAAGACTGAGCCGACCAGGGTCAGAAGAGAAGGGGTAAGGAACTGAAATAGCACCGACGAATGGGGTCAGAAGGACCAAGACAACTGTTGGTTGCAAGGCAAATTTTATTGTGCTACAGCTGCAGATTATAAAGACTAGAAAAGGGAAGGTTGCCAGACGGCGGTTTACATTATCTAATGACTGTCTCGGCTCAAGGTTAACTTCCCTGGGAGAAAACCCATAAACCCAGAATCATCAAAAATAACCTGCACATGCAGGGGGGAGACAGCTTTGCTTATCTCATTTTACATTCTTTCTGATCTCTGGGCCCTGGTGATTTATCCCCCATGGAATGGAACAAGGAGGAGAACAAGTAGGGACAGTCCCTTCGAGTAGTGGCGGCATGCCTGGCACGTCCGCAGCCTGCTCTCATGGCTGACTGCTTCCCACAGGTCCCCCTTTTTTATTTTTTAATTTTTGCTGCAAACTTATTCCATGAAGTTTACTGCCGAGAGTAGTATATTGTTGCATGAGGATACGAAACAGACATGAGAAGATTATTAGCCATAACAGGCAAATTATGGCCAGGGTAATAAATCCTGACAACCTTCCAGTAATCCAAGACTGAGCGTTTAACCACTTTAAATGATCCAGTGAAGTCTGAATTACATTTTCTGGCGAAATATCATCAAGATGTGCATTTTGCATATCCTGAATTTCAGCATTTAAGTTCTTAAGATCAAGACTAATATTATTATCTGACCAAACACTCAGCAGATGCATTTTTACTTTCTCCCATTCCCAAATAGAGCCATTATACTTATAAGGAGTAACACAAATCCATGTATACTTTGCATGACAAGCTAAACGCATCCTCAATTTTAATGCTGCCATCTGATCTCCAATCCCCAAAACTGTGTTTTTAAATTCATCTAACTTGTTATTAATCTGTAAATCTATGTGACTTTGTAAAGATAAAGCAAGACTGGTATTTCGAGATAACTGATTAACAAGGTGAGCATCATTAATACTCTGTGAAAGAGCAAGACCGGCAGCAGCCGCGGCAGCAGACAGAGCAGCCAAGGCAAGTAAACTTACTATTAGCCACCCAATAAAGCGTCTCCCTCTCTGCAAGGCTTTAGAGAGCTCCACCCATGCCTGTACTCCAGTATTTTCATACCAAGGTTCTTTCAGATGTACAGGCACCATAACATACATGGGTTGCTTTAGTATAAGCACAGACTGCGTTCCTGCAGAAGGGAACATACAACTGCTAAAAATACAATTAACACAGCTAATATTATACCCTCCTTTGGAAGAATTAACAATGTTAATAGAACCAATCAAAAGTGTGTATGGAGGAGCAACACAAGTTATAACAGGTGTGTTGGAATAAGTCAGAGCTAGTTTCCATATATCCCAGTTCTTCTGAAATGTAATAAACCTATCTATGACGGGAATAGAAGAGATAAGAACTGACCCCTTGGTATAATCTATAGTACACCATATTTGGTTATTATTCCAAGATGCAATGCAACGTTCAAAATTGGATTCAGGAAAGTTAACGGTCATAAAAGGAGGAAATTGATTTTTTGATTTTCTGTTAAGAATAGTAACCTTATGTCCAGCTATAAGTATCCCTTGTTCTCTAGGTAAATGCTTCATACAGAAATAATTTCCTGAATCTTCACCTGTAACCTTGGTTATAGTAATAGAGGAATCCCTAAGTGGTGAAGCGTATGAGATTCGACCTCTAATATTAATAGGTTGCCCATTTTTATACCAAATGATTGTATCCTTAAGATCCTCTCGTCGGCTGGTAGCCGGGCATGCAAGAGTAATGTTGGTTCCTGTAAAATGAAGGATGCCTGGAGAGCCTGACAAACCAACTGATTGATCCGTTTCCTCATAAACATCTGTATGCTCATAACTAATAGCCTTTACACATCCAGTTTCCAGATTCAATGGGCTAAGACAGACAGGATAGATATTAAACCAGTTAGTATAATTTACAGACATATTGATTTGTTTTATATTCCCAATAAGAGGCCCATAAACAGTATCATTGTAAAATACAAGAAACTTTGCTTCAGACCAAGATATGGGTTGTAATAGTGGAGGATCAGGTACATAGGCCCAGTAAGTTGCTGCATTAACAGAGGGAACGCATGAAATGGTTGCCAACACAGCCAAAAATAAAGTTATAGGTGTAACAGGATTATTCTGTTGTTTCACTAACTCTTGAGCTCGTGAAATCAATTGTTTAACTTGTCCCCAGGTTGGAACATCACTCCCTTGAGTCGTGCTGGCAAGTGGTCTCCTCTTCTTCTTTTTCTCAATTGATACGGTCACTGTTGCTTTCTTTGGAGAAATGTGAAGTTTCTGCATTTTCTTTATCAGTCGGGCGTTGCGATGAGCCATCTGTCTGCTTCACTAGACGTTCAGGAAGCCAACAAGGACCAGGCGCAGATCTGGGAAAGATACACATGTGACCTTGCCCCCAGATCAAGACGGGACCCAGACCATACCAGGTATTGGTCAATGGATCCTGCCAAAGAACTTCTGGAACAGATGTTGTCAATGTTCGCTCAGCCAACAATCTTTCTCCTGCAGAACGGCCAAATTTATCAACAGTCAAAAATTTTTAAATAAATAATGCATGATTCAAAAGGCTGTATGGTGTGGTTTCATATAATTCCCCCTTTTTTATTTTTTCAATAGTTTTAGGGATCTGTGTGCACGTTCTACAATGCCCTGTCCTTGAGGATTATATGGAATACCTGTAATATGAGTAATTTGTAAGGAATCACAAAATTTTGCAAAAGCAGTACTGGTATAAGCAGGCCCATTATCAGTTTTTATAATTTTAGGAATATTCATAAATGCAAAACAATGTAATAAATGAGTAATAACATGTTTAGTAGCCTCTCCGGTCTGTGCTGTAGCACAGAGGAAACCAGAATAAGTATCAATAGTGACATGAACAAACTGTAATTTCCCAAAAGACGGGATATGAGTAACATCCATTTGCCATAAATGACTAGGTAATAATCCACGAGGATTAACGCCATAATGCGGAACAGGAAGGTGAGGTAAACACTGTGGGCATTGCTTAACAATTTGTCGGGCGGCTTCACGAGTAAGGGAAAATTGTTTGCGTAATGCAGCCACTGACTGATGGTGTAAAGCATGTGATTGTTGTGCTGCTTGTGAAGCAGTTTGATCATAACTTACCATAATATGAGGGTGTCCAGGATATGGACCATGAGTATCAACAGTATGAAGATAATGAATGCAATACAATAACCATTCATGATAAGAGGGAGAATGGAGTGAAGGGGTAGAAGCTTTAGCATCAGGAGAGGAATGGATAGGAAAAAAATTCTATTTAGTACGAGTCAAACTATCTGCAGCTGCATTAAGTTTTGTTAAAGGACCAGGGAGATTAGAGTGTGCACGAATATGTAAAGCTGCAACAGGGCCATCATGAGAGCCTATGAGTTGCTGGAGTAGACGAAAAGAGGATGATAATTAAGGATCATTAGTATGTCCTATGGTTGCAGTCTCCAGAAGAAACAATAAGCTAATAAGATATTTACTATCAGAAGACAAATTAAAAGATACAGAAGGCAAATGTTTAAAAGCCATAATGACAGCATACAGTTCAACACGTTGAGCTGAAGTCAAGGAAATTTGTTCAATTAGTTTTGTTCCGTCGTCAATGATTACAGTAGCCACTCCTGAGGAGGACCCGTCCGTAAAAACCAAAGGTACATGTGGAATAGGGTGTTGTTGCATTACAGAAGGAAAAATGTAAAGATTATTTTTACTAAATTGAATTATCTTATCAGCAGGATAATGACATTCTAGGTTTCCTGGAAATCCTACAAGAGCAAGTCCCCATTCATTACCATGTTGAAAAATCCAATTTTGTTGACTAACTGAATAAGGGATAATAATTTGAGAAGGTTCTATTCCTATAAGTTGTAAGCATCTAGTTCTACCTTGCATCATTAAATTACTAATACGTTCATAATAAGGATTAATAGCCTTAGAGGGTGTAGTCTTCATGTGAATCCATTCAGTAACTCCAGTAGTCTGCCATAAAACAGCTGTGGGCACATGGGGTGTTGGACAAATAATTAAAGAAACTGGCAGGTGAGTGTGTATTCGAGTTAACTGCACAGAGCTGATAGCTCTATTAACTATTTGTAATGCTTGGAAACCCTCTGGAGTCATGGAGCGTGATGATGAAGGATCTGAATCACCTTTAAGAATATCAAACAAAGGCTGTAGTTGAGCAGTAGTAAGTTTTAAGGAAGGCCTTAGCCAATTAATACCTCCAAGTAATTTTTGAAAATCATTTAATGTTTTTAAATTATCAACTCGAATTTGCAGTTTCTAATAGTAGTGTTATCTATATATTTACCCAAATATAAAAATGCAGATTGTCTTTGAATTTTTTCTGAGGCAATGACCAAGCCAAATGATTGTTAAGGATTGTTGTAAAAATTGAAAAGCAGTCTCTAATAAAGAACTATTATCAGTGGCTAAAAGTATATCATCCATATAATGTATGAGATATAACGTTGGAAACCTTTTTCTCACAGGAGTCAAGGCCTGAGCCACATATTTTTGGCATAATGTAGGACTATTTGCCATGCCCTGAGGCAATACTTTCCATTGAAATCTCCTCATGAGTTCTTTAAAAGTTAAGGAAGGCAAGCTAAAAGCAAAATGTTTTCTATCTTCAGGAAACAAAGGAATAGTGAAAAAACAATCTTTTAAATCTATAACTAAAAGATGATAATTATGTGGTATGGCTGTTGGAGAGGGTAGGCCTTGTTGAAGAGCTCCCATTATTAGCATAGTTTTATTGACAGCTCTTAGATCCTGTTATAACCTATATTTTCCAGATATTTTCTTGATAATAAAAATAGGAGTATTCCAAGGGCTATTGGAAATTTCTAAATGCCATAATTGTAATTGTTCCAGTACTAACTGTTTGGCAGCTTCTGTCTCCTTTGTGAGGGGCCGTTGGTCCACCCATAAAGGGTCATCAGTCAGCCAAGTAATTGGATCAGCAGTGAGTGGAGGAGAATCCAAGGCCCCTAAGAAAAACCCAAACCTTGTCTATCATTTTTTATTTCCACATCAATAGGATAGGCAGTTCCTTGTTGATTTGTTCCCAGCCCTTTTGTGGGAAGAAATCCTTGATCCAACACCATATTAGAGACTTGAGAATTTGGACTGTAAAGCAATACTCCCATTTCTTTTAATATATCTCGGCCCCAGAGGTTTAAAGGCAGCCCAGGCAAAACATAAGGCTGGAAGTATCCTGAATGGCCCTCACTATCTTGCCATAATAATAACTGACTACTTTGCATAGGAGAAGAACTTTGTCCTATTCCTTGAAGTTCTGTAATAGTAGGACTAATGGGCCAACGTTTAGGCCAGTGCATCTGCGTCATAACAGACATCAGCTCCAGTGTCTAACAAACCTGAAAAAAACCTTTCCATTAATGGTTAATTTCATTTCTGGACATTCTTTCCCTACCTTCTGAATCCAGTAGGCAGCATTAGATGATCCAAAGGCCTTTGTTCCTCTCTTTTGATGTTGTAAAATTTGTCCATGAGGTACAAAGGACAAAAGTAGCAACTGTGCAATTTTATCACCAGGAGAAGTAGTTATTATATTTTTAGTAGTTTGTGCCATGATTTTTATTTCTCCTTCATAATCAGAATCTATGACTCCTGGCATAATAGTTAAACCTTTCATGGTGACACTACTTCTTCCCAATAATAGTCCCATCAAACCCTTAGGTAAAGGTCCATAGATGCCTGGAGAGAGGGCCTGAAGACCCATTTCAAGAGTTAATACATATCGGGCAGAGGTACCGAGGTCCAGTGCTGCACTTCCTGGTGTTGCTCTGGAGAGCGAGGATACTGTATGTTTTTGTTCTTGGTTAATATCTGAATGATAATTTGAGGAGGATACACAGACATCGCCCCTATTGTTTGTTGGGGCCGGGGAAGGCCCCGGGAGGAGTTTCCCGACAGTGGTGTCCCATCCTTGTGGGTCAGTGAGCGACAATCTCGTGCCTAATGTTTTCGCCTATTGCATCTAGGGCATACACCGACCATCTGGAGGTTTTTGAACAGGGAAGGAAGGACTAGGGTTAGAATTAAAAGATCTACATTCTCTAGCAAAATGGCCTGCCTTTCCGCATTCAAAACAAGTCTTTGTTTTCTTTTGACTGTTTTTAAGCCCCACTTTAGTTAGTGCTGCAGCCACAGCAGCACCCTGTATATAAGCAGGCCCAATGTCCGCACAAAGGCGAATATAGTCCTCCAACGTTCCTCGTTTTCTCCAAAGTCGAATCGCAGCCTGACATGCATTATTAGCGTTTTCAAAAGCAAGTTGCTTAACTACAATTGTACCAGTGGGTCCATCCACAATGAAGTCTCCCCACCACCTGTAACAATCTATCTACAAAATCAGCATATGGTTCATCAGGTCCCTGTCTAATTTTTGAAAGATCTTCAGTTTTATGAGCAGAAGGTAGTTTTCTCCAGGCTTGCAACGCCAGATGATTTATTTGAGGATATGCAACAAACGGATAAGTCAACTGATCTTGTAACAATGTATACAGCCCTTCACCCACCAACATATGATAATCCACAGAAATATTATGGGAAGCATCCCTTTCTGCTTGTTCAGCAGCCCGTTCATAAAAATCAGACTTCCATATTAAATCATCTCCACCATTTAAACAAGCTCGTGCAATAGACTTCCAATCAGCGGGGGAAAAGCTTCTCCTGCTATAGTGTCAACCACAGCAGTAGTAAAAGGAGCAGTGGGCCCATATTGAGCGCAAGCAGACTTTAAATCTTTTAATACTTTTAAAGGGAAGAGCTTGATGCTCCCTAATAGCTTGTTGAGGATTATTAGGATCAGGTCTTTCTATGACAGGACAACAGAAAATAGGATCTTCTCCTCGTTTTATTGCTCCTTGTACAGCGCGCTGCAAGGGACTGAGCATTTTTATAGATGTAGATTTTTGAGGAAGACAGTCCTTACTAATCTGCTGCTTTTTCACTGACTTATCTACCATAGCCATTAGAAAATCATCCTCAGGATATTCTTCTCCTTCGTGTTTAAAATCCTCATCTGTTAAGTCGAAATATTCCTCTTCATCTGATATGTTAAAATTAATAAGTTCCCTAGATTTAGGAAGTGGCGGTGCAGAAGCCATTAAGGCAGTTTGATCTTCTGAAGAAGGCTTTTGTTTTTCTGACTTGACATTCAAATCAACACTATCATGAGAAGAATCTAAACATTCTTTTATCAGATTCCACAAACTAAATGTAACAACAGGAGTATGAGTAGGCCCTCGAGACTCATAATAATTTTTTAAATCTTCTCCAACTTTCTGGCAGATTTCTACGTCAACTGAGCCGCCATCAGGAAACCAGGGAGATACATCATAAATATTCTGTAAAAACTCAGTCAACTGTGAGGTAGAAACTTTATTACCCCGAGCTTTAAGCATCAAAAGTAAAACCTGAGCAAATCATGCTCCTTTGAGCCCTTTTGTCCCATCTTATTTTACTTCTGACTATTGCCTTATGCCGGTACTAGTTTCACTTTTACTCGTGGCCACACATGTTTTGCATAAGGGTTCTCTTACCTGCACTTTCTTTTTCTTTTAATTGCCTTCACGCTTCAGGTCCCTGTTTGGGTGCCACTTGCCTGCGGACCAGCCAGATGAGGAAGACTGAGCCGACCAGGGTCAGAAGGGAAAGGGCAAGGAACTGAAATAGCACCGACGAATGGGGTCAGAAGGACCAAGACAACTGTTGGCTGGTTGCAAGACAAATTTTATTGTGCTACAGTTGCAGATTATATAGACTAGAAAAGGGAAGGTTGCCAGACGGTGGTTTACATTGTCTAATGACTGTCTCGGCTCAAGGTTAACTTCCCTGGGGGAAAACCCATAAACCCAGAATCATCAAAAATAACCTGCACATGCAGGGGGGAGACAGCTTTGCTTATCTCATTTTACATTCTTTCTGATCTCTGGGCCCTGGTGATTTATCTCCCATGGAATGGAACAAGGAAGGGAACAAGTAGGGACAGTCCCTTCGAGCAGTGGCGGCATGCCTGGCATGTCCACAGCCTGCTCTCATGGCTGACTGCTTCCCACAAGAAACCACTATTCACATGTGTGTCTAATTAGTAGAATTAGGAGGATGCATAATTTGTATTTTTTGAATATCAAGTCCAAGAATAATTCTGCATAATGGATCAAAATAGAAGCCATATAATTAAGGATGACTGTAGCAAGACTACCCTGGAGAGAAGAAGCTTACAAATATTGTTCATAATTACAGATAGTAAAGAATTGTTTTAGCTAAAGCTAATAAATAAAAACATGATTCCAGGTATGGCGGTGCACCAGGAAAATTGGGATTTGGTGAACAGGTGTTCTCAAGAATTATGCACATCCTGAGTATATTATTTGGTATTGCCTGCGTTCTTACTAATTAGAGCTTTCCTTATTGCCTTTCATCCTTATTGCCATCATCCCTAGACTTGGCTACTGATGCTCTCAGCTCCAGCATCAAACCCCTTTCCCTTATTTCCAAACTTTCCAATCCAGTGTCAATCCAAGTAGGAGGCACAGACAAAATTAGCCTGAATCAAGAAATGTCTCAAAAACAATATAGTCCATGGTGAATATTCAGATAGATACTTCACTGGGAATGAAGACCCATATATAGAATGTACTAGTGCGAGAGAATGTTAGATTGGCATCTTCTCTCTCCCTTGTTTAATTCCTTTTCTTTCTTTATTAGGACTCAGGACTTCTCCCATGACTTCATTTGTAGTGAATTGGTTTGCCTCCTGCATAGCTCTTCTCTATCCCAGTATTTTTATATCAAGGGCTATACTGGGAATATCGATGAATGATATATGTGTATTTAATAACAAGCATATATACATTCCTTGCAAGGCAACCTGGGAAGAAATGCGGATTTTAGTTCTGTTCACCAAGTATTTGCTGAATGACCATTAACTGGTTATCTACCTTCTACAACCCTTAGATTTTTCATCTGTGAAATAAAGGCATTTGACTAAATTGATCCCTAAAATCTATTGTCATTCTAAAAATCCTGAGTCCTTGGAAACTTAGTTTTGGGGGCGGGGGTCGGATTTCTACAAGATTCTTAGTTTGCTCATGGGCCAACAGTCATAAGAGATTAGATTTTCTTATTCATCGAAAGAACTTGATAAACTATGGAGATACAGAGCCACAGCATTAGAACTGCTCAAGAATAGAACTGAAACTCTATACATTAGCCGATTTTCTTCAGGGTCTTAAAACACCTTTGTGTACAGAGAATCACACCTAGAGTAATTTGGAAAATCTTCCAATTCATAACTTTCCTTGTTAACTTAAAATGCCAAATGAAAATTGCCAAACTCTATGATTATAAAACACATGAAGCTTGAATGCATATTAATCTTCTGGTCAAATACCACCCTCATTAGGGTGATATTTTTGGAAAGGTTCTGTCTTGCCAGTATAAAACTACATTTGGTGGCTCAGTGGTTGAGAGTCCACCTGCTGATGCAGGGGACACGGGTTCATGCCCTGGTCCGGGAAGATCCCACATGCTGCGGAGCGGCTGGGCCCGTGAGCCATGGCCGCGGAGCCTTGCTCCGCAACGGGAGAGGCCACAACAGTGAGAGGCCCGCATACCACAAAAAAAAAGTTTTACTTAATTGCTAAAGGACTATGCTAATACCATCAAACTGCCTTTTTATTCTGCTAATATTTAATTTTCACCGGTAGAAAATTTCCAGACTTTAGAATTTTGTTTTTTGTTTTTTCAAACCCTGGCTGTATTATTTGCCATGAGTCAAATGTTGAGGTAGTGTCAATTTTGAAATTCTGCCAGGCACAAAAAGGCATTCTGGTCTCTGGCTTAATTTACCTGGCCACCGACCGTATAGCTTATCAGCCTCAATCTTGTCATTTTTGGCTGTCATTTTAGCTATATTTATTTTAGCTATATTATCTCCCAACAGAGCTAACTGTTAATTAATTTTTAAAGAGTAGGTAATACTGCAGGTAATACATACGAGCACGATACAAAATTTGAAATACATAAAATGACTTACAATGAAAAGTCAGTCTCTTTCTCATAATAATCCCCCAGCCACCCATTCTCCCACCAGGTCATGTAACCTGGTAGATAGAGATTAACTTATAATCCTTTATAAAAAAGGAAGACCTCACATGCCCTACATTCGCTTTTCTTTACTGCTATCATCTCACATTATTTCAGTACATTTGTCACAACTGAACACCAACATTGATACTATTAACTAAACGCTACGGTTTATTCTATTTCACTAGTGCTATGGACTGAACGCTTGTGTCCCCCTTAAGTTCATATATTGAAACACGAGTCCCCAATGTGATGGTATTAGGAGGCGGAGGCCTTTGGGACGTAATTAGATCATGAAGGTAGACCTTGTGAATGGGATTAGTGCCCTTTTAAGAGATACAGGAGTGGGACTTCCCTGGTGGTCCAGTGGTTAAGACTCCTAGCTTCCACTGCAGGAGGCACAGGTTCAATCCCTGGTCACCGGGAAACTAAGGTCTCACATGTTGTGCAGTGCAGCCAAAAAAAAAGAAAAGGGATACAGGAGAGATGACTTCTCTCTCCACCATGTGAAAACACAGCAAGAAGGTGGCTGTCTAGAAACCGGTAGAGGGCTTTCAGCAAGAACCCAACCTTGCTGACACCCTAATCTCAGACCCCCAGCCTCCAGAACTGTGAGAAATAAATGTCGTTTAAGCCATGCAGTCTATGGTAATTTGTAAAAGCAGCCCGAACTAAAACAACTCGTTTTTCCTTAATGTCCTTTCTCTGCCCCCCGGATGCTGTCAGGATACCACATTACATTTAGTTATCATATCTCCTTAGCCTTCTCTGGTCTGTGACAATTTCTCAGACTTTCCTTGTTTTATATAACGTTGATGGTTTTGAGGAGTAGTGGCCAGGTATTTTGTAGAAAGTCCCTCAATTTTGGTGTGGTGCTCTTCTCATGATTGGATCAGGGTTATGGGTTTTGGGGAGTAATATCACAAAGATGAAATACAATCTTTGTCATATCATATCACGGATACATTCTATGGACATGGCATTGCTGATGATATTGACCTTGATCATCAGGCTGAGAAGTGGTTGCCCAGTTTCTCCCCCTGTAAAATGACTCCTCCCGCCTCCTTTCCATGCCCTACTCTTTGAAAACAAGTCACTAAGCTCAGCCCACACTCAAGGGCAAGAGGAACTGAGCTCTGCCTCTGAGGGGGATGTGGGAGTATCTACATAAATTATTCGGAATTCTTCTCAATGGGAGTTTTGTTTCTTCTCCACTATTAATACACCCTATTTTATATGTACTACAGAGTTCTTTGTATATATTTATTAGAAAATACTGGCTACATCTAAACATTTTTACCTGAGATATTTCCATTATACCTTTAGATGCAGAAAGTAAAGGCTAACAGTTAACTCTTCATTCATTCAACCAATATTCATTGAACATCTTTACACAGGCACTTGATAAACACAACATGACACACTGAATACTCACAATGGAGCTTATGGCCTAATAGTCAGTTACACTATAGTATGATTGGTGACTGGCTGAATGTAGGTATATACAGAACAGCCCACAAGACTTCTATACAGGAGGGGCTTAGCAAACATCTCAGAAGGAAGTGGATACCAGGTAGTTTAAATTGTATTTGTGTAGATTTTTACATACTGCAAAAATGTCAACTGTATACGCATACATCGATAAACAGAGATATTTTTTAAATAGTGGTGGATAGGAACAGAATAGATCCCTCCTACTATTATAACTGTGTGGTTTGGAGGCATGATTAAAACAAAACAAAACAACCAAACAAAAAAAGAGACACAGTCTCCAGTCATTAGAGACTGACGTAAATTGTTTGACACCAGTGCCATCCTCAGGTATTGCTGCCTGATTTTAGATGAATAGCTATAATTCCCTGAGCTTTACTTTTCTTATTTTCTCAGGGGTTTTGTGAGCATTCAAGCTAAGTCGGCAAAAACGGCTACATATATTTTCCATTCTTCATGCACTGCTCTTTGCAATGTGTTCTGCATCTTTGCCCATCAAAGGGGAAGACCATTTTTTTACCCTTGAATCTGGGCCTGGCCTAATGTGACTTGGCTTTTGCTGATAAGAAATTAGCAAACATGACGCAGAGGCTATAAAAGAACATGTGTGTTGTGATTTGCTTCCTTACTCCTTCTGGAATCCTTTTGGCATGTGAACAAATTCGGCTTTTCCTGCTAGAGGATGAGACCAGGGGAGAAGAATTGAGGTACCTTCGCCGATAGCCGCTCCCAAACAGGTGAGTGAGGACATCTGGGTAAACCAGCCCCCAGCTAATTCACGGACTGACCACAGAATCAGCAACTGACCACAAACACATGAGTAAGCCCTGCCAAGAACAGTTGAAAAAGTGTCCTCATCAGTCCAGCCCAAACCAATGATACAAAGAATCATGTACTAAATAAAGGAGTGTTCTGTTAGGATGTAAAGTTTCAAAACGGTTTATTATGCAGCAATATCTAACTGACAGAATCACATAATGCTGTGTTTTTGTTTTACTTTTTTAAATAGTAATTTTTAAAACTGGAAAACAAATACACAACTTGGAAT